CTATTCGCTCCGACGAAGGGCTAACGCTCGAAACGTCAGCTTTTATAATCGTAACGGTGGCCAATTTACCATTTCAACTTTGTTGATATATTCAAATTATTTCGTTACCCCCACCGACGCAGCCCCAAACAGTTTCTTTAGAAACTATCAGCCTTTATTCAATTAAATTTCTAAACAGCCAAAGCTCGCAAACTAAAATCATTGGCGAGTAAACAAACCTCGAGTCGTTTTTCCAATGTTTTCAGCGGACCGTCCTCCGCAGCGCCATCAAATTGAAGGAAGCTTCTCATCTGAGCCGCGCTGATGCTGATTTCAGTGGTTAGCTTCAGTGGTTCGCCCTCCATGGCATCGTCTTCCTGTTCCTGAATTATGCCGGCTGTATCCTCCGGTAGTAACAGCTGCAGCAGCTCGATGGTTGTCGACAGCGTGGACAGGTGATCCGGGCCTGGGATGCTATTCCTAGAACAAATGAAAGGGTGTGTTAAACACAAAACTAAAACAGAAAAACAGAAAAAGCCGCCGACATATCACTCATTACTAGAGCTTACGTAAAAAAAGAACGGCAAAATACGACGAAAATTACAACAGAAAAATACTAACGTTCTACGATTTACTTCTGATGTGACAACCTTCAAATGGCCGACGTGCTAATCCTGTGATGAACCAACCAAACAGACAGACACGACAGACACAGACAGATAGACAAGCAGGTCAGCAAATGGACAGAAAGAACGGACAGTAAACATATGCAGTGCTAATTTCAACATCATTTCGACACCTGATAGACCCTAATGCCGCTCAATCACAGTTTGTGAGTGTTGAAAAAGCCAAGTTTTGCAATTCGTGTAAATCTTTTTCCTTCTTGACCATTCTGGTCCATGCATACTTCATGGTGTTTTTTTTTTTTGACACCAACAGACCGTTGTCTTAGAGTTTTTCATTTACTTGGGAACTGTTTCCTTGTCAATAGAATGGATGTCTCCAAGTTCTTCACCGCAAAGCATCTTTCTTGTCGTGTCTGTTTATTGGTTATATCTCTAAATAGTTTATTCAGATTTTATAGCAATCTATAGTTAACATTGTAATTCCTGCAGTCTAGGTGTCTAACACAAAATTAACGGAGCAATCGTTTTTCTCGTCCGTCTGACCAGTAAACCTCCGACCTTGATTTGGATATCGACAAAGTGATCAGCTTGTAAATTCAACATTTCAGCTTTCCTACTCTATCAGGTAGACAGGTAATTGGATTTGAGAACATTATCAAATAGAGGATATCACTCTGATTGGACACCAAATTCCTAGAGCTAAGTAACAAAATATTGTATGCCATCGAATCAGAGAATTAGTACAAAGATACTGAAGGTAAAAGGGACAAGACAAGGTCAATATTACTTACTCAAAAGAGGACGACAACCTTTTCAGAAGGCGATAAAACACCTCACTATTGTTCTCCAGAGCTCTGAAACAAAACAAAGAAAGGAAGAAAGCTTACTTGTATGGGAACCCCAATAAACCATAAAACTATTTCAGCCTACAACTCACCAAAGTTGTGAGCCAAAGATTAAATGCCGACGCTATAGCAAGTTCAGGTACCTTTTCTGATGGTAGACACCATAGTTATGTTCCGTTAGAGTCAGCATGGTCCTCAGAGCGAGCAAAATCGTTGCAAATGATTGCTGCTCGGATCCCATGTGCTCCAATAAAGCTGCACAAATCACTTCCAGCATCTCTTTGTCCGGCAAAGTGTTAGCCAGCTAAATAAAGAACATCACACGACAAATGTGGCTAGAAAATTTCTGGTAATGTAGCTTAATGAATGGAATAACTTTTGTACTAAAAGGACAGCACTCATTTCATTGCTAGAAAAACAGCAAACAAAAACAAAAAAAGAAACTGCAAAACAAACAAACAGCAACACAAAACTTACATGCTGGTCGGTGAAAGGAGTTTCGAAAGGCATCAGGCTAACCGTGGGGTCACACAGGGACTGGACAATCGACTGAGAGAAAAAGGATACACAAGGTTTTTGTGGAACAGGTTGTATAAAAACGAGAGACTCAAAGACAAAAAAATCGTCTCAAAAATAAAGTCGTTGCACAAAGTGCAAGGGCGCAAATAATCTATATCAGAGTAAGATCTCAATTCCAACGGTATGTGCAACGTTCCAGCCACAACAGCAGTAAACCGAAACAGTTTCAGGCAGGCAAGATAATACCTTGCGACAAACGCGGGTAACATGCGAAACCAACTGAAATCCCTTAGATTTTACTAAACTACTACAAAATCAATTAATGCAAAGCGAACGTAAACACAGTTTCATGCCTAAATGCACTTGAAAGTTGTGTAAACTCGAGTATAGTAAAGATAGATGAAAGTTACTGTCATAGGGGAAAAGAAAATATTTAATAAAGCTGAAAGTGCCTGTGGTTGTAAAAGGTCGGTGTTTACCTCCAAAAGAGCCAGTTCGAGGTACATAAAGCTTTTTCAAAATCTGCCAAGAAATTATTGTAAAACGATCTTTTACATACCACGACACAGTATTGTGATCGAGACGCCGTTTGATTTTCTGACGACCCTTTCAAACAAGACAACATGGACGGCAGAAGACTGGGGAACAACAGGTCATCGTTCTTGGCATTGCCACTGTAAATAAAACGTGAAAAGGTAGTTTCTTCCACATTACAACTTGAGAAATATTGATTTTAAAACCTCCATCAATTTTAACTACACCACATACTATCTGTTTCAATAATAGTGTGTTCTTATACAATAAAGTATAGTATAATGTAATTACACTGTCTTAGAAAGAAGCTTTGGATCTTAAAAGCTTTATGAAGCAACAATCGAAACGTAAATTACCCGTTTTCTGCTTGCCCTAAATCTTCTATCACTTTCAAACGTGTAATAGCCATTTCACAATATTTGAACAAAGTCAAGAACGGTTTGGGCCCCCTGTACAGATGGCTTCTTTTTCAACCTCGACCTCGTTGTGCTCAATATGTCTCAAGTTTGAATTAAAGAATACCTTTACTCGGTATCAAAATTCCACATGGAAATCATGCCCCGCCCACTGACCTGGTTTTCAAAAGTTGAAGAAGCGACACTTTGACAGCTGGCTGTGATGAAAGGTAAGCTAACAATGTCATAATACGCACATCTCCTGGGGAACAACTGAAAGGAAATTATAGTAAAACTCAAATTCCTGATCACATTGGTAAACAGTCAATATACTGGATAATTATGTTCGTATATAAGTCACACACTTTCTTTCACTCGGGCCATCAGTCCAACTTTCCTTTTAGAATGGAATCTTGTTTTAGAAAAGTGTCGTGTTTATGACAATTAAATGCTATACAACACAAGTTGACCACCGAATAATAAGCAAGTAGAGAAATTATCCATACGAAAATGGACCTTAGGCCTCCTGGATATTAATTGGGCGCTACCAACGACTGAAATTTTCGTCGTCCTTTCCGTTTATCAAGAGTGGGCTTGTAACCCAATGAAAATGAGAAGTGAAATGCGCGTAATTCGTTTCCTCTCCGGCGCGTTAACAATCCCAGAAGGGTTGCAGCAAATATTGGGCATCATTAATGCTCAATACTGCAATCACGCGCACTCGATTAGGTTCCATAGGAGGATAAAAGCTGACAAACTCTACTCAAACGATGGGGCCGATGCGGCCAAAACTCGCTCAGGCAGTTCTTATTCCATTCACCGACAAAACAGTGTGACCGATTAGTTGTGACACACGGGGCCATAGTTTCGTAGCTTTTGTTGCCGACAATTTTCTACCTATTGTCGTCTCCACTTGCTTTGCTCATCTCGCTGTCTAGTGTCTCCAGAAGAGTTCTGTTAAAACAAAATTCATGCACAGTTATGAATCTTTCTCAACTTGAGCAAACAATTGTTTCATGTTCTTTTATAGTACGACTAGGCTCAACCTGATCACTTATCCTTAAATAAGTCTGTGAAAAATCTCTGTTCTTCTGCGATGGGGAATAATTGCTGACCCGTATTCGTTTGGTGAAACACAAACAGGGCCTTCATGAATGGGAGAAACGGTAAAACACTCCTCTTGGCAAAGGGAGTGAAGCTGCAAAATGCACTAACTTTTGACGCCAGTGCTAATTACAATCCAGAGATTAATTTTTCCCTTGATATCGCCAAATATGTTAAAAAGGCTGCATTGAGATAGTTACACTTTTCTCAGTTCGCCATTCGAATTCAGTCAAAATCTTCTGAATCCTTAGACGTCCTTGTTCCTTGTTGAATCGTTTTTGCTTCTTTTGTGTTTTTCTATCTCACGGACCAAATAAGTATCCTTTAAGCTAAAAGTAGTGATGCAATACGGAAAAAAATTACTCCTTTCTGTTGCCGTGCGACTTAACCTGACGTAAAACCGATGGAAGTGTAAAAAAAAAAAAAAAAAAAATGCAGGCACTGAGCAGAGTCTACCAGCTCATTTCAGTCTTTCCGAGCCTTACTAGGTCTACTAAACTGATAACGCAATGGAGCGATAAACAACCACAAAAATCACCTGACAATATTGAAGGCTGTGGGTGCAGATAAGTCTGATAGTTGCGAACAAACTCTCCTCAATACTTGTTGAAGATTGTGACAAGCTGACCCTACAAGTTACGAGAAACAGTGGCGTTAATCACAAAGGTTCAGTAAGCATTTTTAAGGAAAAAATATCCAAAACAGTTTACAGAATTCCCAAAAACAGGAATTCTTTATTCTTTAAAATAATAGGCTGGTCCATGAAAAGCACGATGCATTGCAAAAGCAAAGTAATAACAGATCAACGAGCAAATACAGTAGCGGTTATCATGGTCTTTTCCCAACTTGGACATTGACCGACTGCGAGAATAAAAAGTTTTGCCCACGATAATTTACGCGTATTTAATCCATCTTGCAAGGATCTCGCCCAGAAATTACCATACAAAGGCAGCTTAGAAAACTCCTCACTTTTTCAATTATTCAAAAGTCTATCTTTGTTTTCCATACCTCTCAGTTTTTGAAAGTTTGTCTAACCCTAACTCTGTCAGTGACGACTAGAAGACGGAAGTACTAAACAACTACATCACGCCCAGGTTCCTACCGGCGAGATCCTTGAGTATTCCTTGCAGCTCTGTGCTGAGTGGATTGAGGTGCGCACTCCACAGCCGACGATGATTCATCACCAGATTCGCTTCTTCCTGAGGCATGTCCTTCGAAAAAAACAAAAAGACAATACAAATGTGAAGCAACTCAACGGCATATTACTTAAATAACATTGTAAGCCGTACGAATTATGGGTCGTATGCAAGCCCAAACTGTTTCCCCGCTAAAACGGACCATATCCCTTGACAGCGTTCGACTATTTCCCACCAATTGGGTGCGCCAATCACCTATCCCAATAGGCCATTTCCAAATTACCTTTGGCTTATTTTTCAAAACGAGGCCTCGTGCTCAACCATTCGTATGAAAACGAGTTTAATTTGCATGTGAATGAAATCGTATAATTCATATGAAAAGATGAGCACCAGGAATCGCTTTGAAAAAGAGGCCAAAGGTAATTAGGAAGTGGTCTATTACTTTAGAAATCAAACACCGCTCTCGTCCCGTTCTTAAATATTGCTGTTGTCGTACACATGTTCTTCGAACCTTCACTTTATTCTGGTGTAATGAAAAAACACGACAGAGTCGCACAATCTGTTCACAACTTCTCCAAATATCACTTTGAATTCAGAATACTCCATTGAGTCACAACGTAATTTAATTACCTCCAAGGAGCGAATTGGCAAAGGTATTGGTAACAGTTCTGACAGCAGAACAAGTCCTCCTAAGAAAGCCTTCCAAACAAAGCAATGACAACAAACCACAACCAAATTAGAAAATCATAACGGAAGAGTACAACATTTACCTCAAAAGAAAAGACTTTAGATGAGTCCTATGTAATAAATTCTGGCAACAAATGGAGTTAAATAATGTAATGGAAATTGGCCCCCTCCGAGAACTTATCAGCTAATCTGGCACTTTTTAAACTGTAGCAACAACATGTGAAGGCCACCTTAGTTAATTCCAGAGTGTAACAAATTCCATTTTGAAAATCGTCATCCGACTGACATACAAACTAAAGATAGCACACAAAATATAGAGCAAGCGTCTAACATAACTGACCGTTCCGATGGCTACATTGCAGCACTTCTGAGAAGTGTAATCAGTAATAGCATAGTTTTAGTTCGTTTTGCTTTAAGATGTACTTACCTGGGGAGCGGATGTCGTGTATTCGAGAAGTTCTTTTAACATCAGCGACCAAATACTTTCATTTATTGCTGTCAAAAAAGAAAAATATCAGGCAACAGGTCAAACAATAATACAGCAGATAACACGACCAAAAATAGTCAACAGAAACTTTCCATTGTTTACCCAGCGATACTATGACGGGAAAATGTGATAGCTGTAGCGGAGTTAAGTACAAACACGAAACCAAAGGCCGAGGAGACTTACTGAGCATGTGCAAGACTGTTTGCTCTTTAGCCCATGGTCGTTATAATCTATTTAGACACGTTTTGCCCTTGTCTTTGCCGGTGGTCAATTTTTCACCAGACCTCCTCTTTCTTTACTGAGCATGTGCAAGACTGTTTGCTCTTTAGCCCATGGTCGTTATAATCTATTTAGACACGTTTTGCCCTTGTCTTTGCCGGTGGTCAATTTTTCACCAGGCCTCCTCTTTCTTTACTGAGCATGTGCAAGACTGTTTGCTCTTTAGCCCATGGTCGTTATAATCTATTTAGACACGTTTTGCCCTTGTCTTTGCCGGTGGTCAATTTTTCACCAGGCCTCCTCTCTCTTTGGAAATGGAAGCAGAAATGTCTTCAACTAAGTCACGGTCTCCGTTCTGAGATGACTCCCTGAAACTCACGACCTTTTTAAGGGAAGTCATGTTTAGTTCCCAATTCAGGTTTGTTTAGTCTTCTAGCGCTGCTTATTTCCGGCAATATCTTTCCGTTTGCACTGTTGTAGCTGCTTACCTTCTTCATGGTCAGATGATTGTATGACTGGCCTAGTAAATGTCATGAAAACGTCAACAATTTCACTTTGCACCTTAGAAAAAATCAAACAAACAAACAGAGAGTCAGCTGTCAGAAAACTAACGACGGTGTCTATATATTACCACCTACCTTACTTCTGAAGGACAAACAATCGCTACTAAAGTCTATTGATACAAAATACCCTACAAACACTTGAGCGGACATGATAATTGAAATCAGGAATGTTCAATGTTTAACAAAAACCGGTTTATAGAAATACCCTCAAGCGGCCATGATTAACACTTGAACAATTAGCAAATAGGCAAGTAGAAAGAAGGTTGCAAAGGGCACCTCTCACTCCGCCCAAACTATACCAAGCCTGATTCTAGTGGGAGTAAAAGTAAAACACTACACATACGTGCCTAAAACAGCGTCACCTTGGCGGAAAAACGTGAAAGCAGTCGTCGTTCGCCAACAATTTTTACAAGGATGTCATAATGGCAGGAAAAAAGCCCGACTACAAATACTCTTCATCGTAATGCAAGACTCTTAATTCCTCCTCACCTTATGAGCAAGGCTGCTGAGTTGTCCTGTCATTGGAGCTGTGCACATCACAGTATGAAGCATCATCAGTGCCCTCATGAGCCTTCGATCTTTGAACTGGTATTTACCACTGTTCAGCAGCTCTACCAGAAGAGTCTTCACCAACGCAAGAAGAGGTGTTACCATGGAAACCATAACTAGGGGAGGTCCAGTGTGCAGGGGCTGGCCCTGCCTCCAGGGACGAAGCAGGAAGTCCCCCAGTTTTTGAAACACGTTGATAAACACGTCCATGGCATTTGCAGAGAATAGTTCGATACAGGCCAAGTTGTGGTTGAGATCTCTCTGAATCACTGCCAAGACAAACAAAATCACAGACGAAGTGATATTCAGTAATTTTTGAAAGCATAAGGCCAATTCCAAAAGATTCTTCGTTTAAAACTAATACAAGACGACAGAGTTTTTTTTTTTCGGCGTAGAACAGTAAGTAATACTTCAGGCACATTAAATCACCAGAAAATACTGAAAAGACACAGACCCGAGCAGGAAACGATTTTGACAGTACGCTGCTTAAACGCGACTTTTCCTGAACGCTTCAAAAATATTTTTGATAGACAACAAACGCGATAGCGTCAGTTTGAAGTAAAACCCGATAATAAATTCGTTCTACGTCATAAAGACATTGATTACACAATCGTCAATTAAGTTTACAGTTTTTCTCGAGCTTCCCTCTCGGAAAACTGAAGTAATTATCTCTTTGGGGAGTTCACCCTCAGGTTACGACATTTTCCCAACTACTAAATTAACAGTACACCTATTAACCAACCTTCAGTTGTGTTTGATTTTTCCACAGGACATGCGAGGTATCTTAAGACTCGAAGAGCCATCAGCACTCCACTCGCAACACTGGGTGTGACATTCATCTCATCCAGATGGCTAATTCAAATGAAATGTAAGAGATGACAGTTATGATTATACATGGAAAACATTCGTACGAGACACCCTCTAAGTAGGTCCAAAGGCTTGGGAGGTAAGGAATAACGGATAAAGGATTATTATCCGTGACAGCACTTGCTTAGTTTGTTTTCAGTGTACCCTGTTGAGAAGTTGAGCTGACTGGGAAAATCGGCGCTCTTTCTGGATGGGATGCTATTCTATCCCAAAGCACTTCCTTTCCTCTCCCCCCCCCCCCCCCTTGTATTTTATAAAGGGGATGGGTAACTGCTAGGGTACGGATTCTTGCACGTGAACAAAATAAGAAAAGCTTGACCAGTGTTTGAATCAAGAAAACTTGTCAATTTGGTGACCGGCTAACTGAACACTGGGGCTATTTAGTCCCTCTCTCTCTTTGGGTACGGTAATCGGTTTGAGAAAATATTTGAACTTGAAATAGACTGAAAATGGCAAGTGCAAGTGGGTAAAAGAAAAAAAATTTACCTTTTCACAAATTCTACTAGTTTGCCGATGCCTGACATATCAAACTTGATATCTTTCAAAGCAACCAGCCAATGGCCCAGTTCGGTGATTGAGGAGTCCGCATCAACTGAGAAATAAAGCCAAACACGAAATTATTCACAAAGAAAAAAAATTGAAAAAGTAGTAGTAGCCGAAGAGATGGTACGGTTTCAAAAGAATACGCTACCTAATTGGCCGAGTTCTCATCTTATCATTCAAGTCTTTAAATCTTTTGATCTGACTTACTGTGTCATATGCTCTAGTTTCTTCGGGTTTACCGGAATTAATTTTTTCCCACGAATTCAGAGAGCGAAAAGGCCGCTTAAGAATTTAATTATGAAATTGGAGAAATATGTGGTTGTTCTCCAACATTACATGACCGATTGCAAAACATTGCGTTTTGCTTGAGTCATTTTTCTGGCATGAAATCTAAGATGTCTCTGGGAAAGCTTCCTTTTATCGCATGATATCTAGCTGTACCTTCCCAAAGGGACAGGTATGTACCGACAGAGATGAAGAAGAAAGAATATAGAAATCATTCTTACCTCTTTCAGTTACAGCTGTGAGTCTCGGTGCAAGTTTAGATAACATTTCCACATTCTCAGACACTGAAAAAGATAAAATTCTTTGTGAAACTAATACAATTGAAGCATACCAAATACGAAATGCAAAGCAATTCCTTCATGATATAGTTATCGCAATTTTAAATCGAGTGTCGAAAACCTAGTCTCCCTTGCAGCCCTTTCCGGCGTCGTTACGCAAGCGAAAACTCCCCCATCAACGGCTGCTCACATTCCAACAACACTCCTTTCCCATTGTAATGTGTTATCCAATCAAAATAAAGTTATTGTCGGACAAACAACCAATGAACATGCGATATTTTTATTCGTGCGAATTCACTGCGTTAGTGTTAGTTTCTAAAGATGGAATGCGATGTTATCGAAACTCCGAAGAAAATATCAGATAATGGTCGCTGTTTTGTTTGCTCTTCTGCTGTTTCTAAAGATAAACTCTGTTTATTTGGGAGAAGTGCTTGGAATTTTCCTGAGATAATCAAGGCTTGTATCGATGTTGACCTCGACAGCTATTCTAAGGGCCTGATTACATGAGCCGGGCTGGCCCAGTTAGCCGGGCTGATTCCTTTTGTTTTGGTGTTCGCCAAAGCGTGAAAACAAAAGAAATCAGCCCGGCTAACCGGGCCTGTTCGGCTCATGTAATCAGGCCCTAACTCAAGAGAGCTATCAATTTTTCGCGAGTGCTACAAGCTTCTAATAAAGTTCAAGAAAAGCTATGATAGCACTGGAGAAATCAAGAATCAAATCTATTCAACGTTCTCAAACCGACGAGTGAGTATAAAGCGATTGTCGAACGAGGACAGCGAGAAAGAAGCTACTCGAGGAAAAGCACCAAGGTGTTTGGACTTCGACGTGTCAACTACTACTAGTGAATCGCACGTTGAGTAGCAGGTCAGTTATCCTTACACCGAACAGAAGTGGACTTCAATGTGAAAGTGTTTCACTTCCCCGGAGACAATCTAAGTTAATCCAACAAGTGTTTCCCCAGCTTTTACCGCTCGTGTGTAAAAGTCCCATGCAATTTCAAGCGCCATTATTTACTTGGACACCGAACTCTCAATGAACAGCAAACACACCGAAGACTCCAAAGACTGTAGTAACTATTCAGTATCCAAGCAAAACAGTAGAGAAAACCTTATGAGGCGGATATCAGTCCATTGGGAAGGCGATTGCTTATGATTTTCCTTCGCAGATTGCAAATGCGGTGTTGGAACACGCTTCCCTAAGAAACCAAGTCTTGGAGAAGACATTAAGATTACTATCAAAGGAAGTCACCGCTCTTTGCTCGTCGAACAATCCATCACTTTTGCGAAAGTCCGGGAAGGACGACTGGCAAAGTTTGATTTGCAAAAGCTTTGCGAAGAGTGGAAAGAAAGGGCGCCACTGTTTTACTCCGTGCTGATGATCTGCGCTGCTAACAAGAGAACCAAAGATAAAACATGGTTCTCTAGCGTGGCAGTGGCAGGCTCAATTCTTCTCAAACAGAGGAATGAGAAAATGAATGCAACTGCATGTGTTCTTGGTGTTCTTCTCAAATCAAAGTCAGTCGAGGTATTGTCTAAATCAATATTTCTTATTTATTCAGTGAGTGCATTTAAACTACATTTTCTTAACACTGCTTGTCATAATCTAAAAATATCTGACTAAAAAGTATGGATTTTATAAACGAAAACAAAGGAATTAGGATAACGTTGGAGTATTTAGTAAATCTTATATTCATTGATTAATGATGCTCACGCTAAGTACGTTTAGCATTGAAAAAAATTATGCTGTAAACATGAAATTCACTTCTACAGCAATCCTGAAATTTTTAACAACATCAGCTTTTTGTTCTGATACAGACCACAATTGCTAGATTCAATAAGATGAAGATCACAAATGCCAATACCAGCATTCTGAGAACCATGGATAAGCTGGGCGAAGACTATGATGCTGATCTAACCTATGCCAAAGAACCCATCACACAGCAGAACAAGCAGTTGAAGTGTGCAGAGGCAAAATGCCATGACATAATTGTTGGTGGGGGAGTTTTCGCTTGCGTGACGACGCCGGAAAGGGCTGCAAGGGAGACTATCGAAAACCATAACAAAAGTAATCCCAGCGACCAATCAAAACAAAAGTTTACCTCATCGCTGGCCAATAAGAAATCAAAGTGAAAAATAAACAAACCGCTCGAAGCGCGGGAAAATGCGAGAGATCAAGTTTCTATCTGATTGGTTGGGAAGATGGCCCGAGTTTTCTGGACCAATCACAGGGCAAGGTTAATTGAAACCAAAGCAACCCCGGATTACTTTCGACCCTCAGTGAAAATTGCTTCATTAATACTCACATTTTACAGTTAAAAGAATCAACACCGTGGCATATCTTGTTGACACACATTTCTTCAATTTCGCATCGTCTTTTGCATCTCCTAATGGAAAAAAAATATCACACAAAATACTTTTGCCATCCTTTTGATGCTGAATTAATTACAAAATGAGGAAATATTTGACTGACGTAAATGCACATGGAGCCATGCCGTGCTGGGACTACTAGGGTTGTAGCTAAGAAAAAGTTATGCTGCCGGCTGAAATTTGAAGTGATGCGGCTCTTTGTAAGTGGGAAACCTCAGAAGTGCATGTTATGCTCTACCGAGCGATCATCGGCAGGATTTTTAGCCGCTGAATTTCGCAGGCAGCCGGCGCTTAGCGACAGCCCCGAGTCGGACTACTGGAAAGAAATCAACTTTTCTAAAAATCTTAGCTGTTTTTTTTCCAAACGCGACGAAAAGACAACACTCATAACGAGAGTAACTTACCTGTAGATTCAACAAACGGAAGTAGAGCACTTAGATTTGTTTCCAAGCTAAGAACAGACACGACTGCTGCTTTACCTACAAGAAGAAAACAAGAGCATGATAAATAACTGAACTGCCTCATCATCTTGGAAAAAGTGGGCCACTGTTTGCCTGTGTTGATAGGTAAGAGAAACACAGGTAATGAATGGCAATAAAATTATCAAGTCAGGGATTTCGTTCCTATGGTGCACCAAATTTTCAGTACGAGCAAACAAAGAAATATATTGACATCATTGAAGAGAATTAGATTTCAGATCTTGTGAATGAAAACGTTGAAACTAATGATCTTTTATAATTCGTGACCGTAATAAGCTACAGAGCTCCTAACATTGTCTTGATAACTCACCAATGGCTGTAAAGGTCATGGAGTAGAGAGTATGTAAAGTGGACAGCAGGTCAGCTCCATCCATGTCATTTGGAAGCAAATCTAGAGGGGAAAAAAGATTCTATGTCAGACTGAATGTAACATCAATATTAACCAAAGTCTCTGCCTGCCGATGATACACCATGGACACACATACGCTGTGCTATGGGGATAGTTATGGGTGTGTCATTGTTGAAAAGCAGAATCAAAATTAAATTCAGTATTAAAGGATGCGGAGAAAGAAGTAAAAAGATTACCTGGAGTAAGAGATGTTAGCAATTGATCCACAGCTTGTAAAGTCTGGAATGCGCAACAAACAAAAGCATGGAAATAAATACATTAACATCAGAGTAATTAAGTAATAAACAGATAAATAATTATATTGACAGAACATGACCTGAAAGGCTTTAAGTTCTTAGGCAAAAAATTAGTTTTCAAACACTTCAAAGTTTTCCTTTCAGATGCTTCAATTCACAAAATCTTTGTTTTTATTCTCTCTCAAACAGTCTTTAATAAAAATATTGCAATTAAGGTGAAATGGACAATGTAAATACACTTTACCTGCAAATGATAAATCAGCAAAAGTCCCAGGTGCTGAGGAGTGCAAGAGTCTGCAGCAGTTGTGTCTGTGAGGATTTCCTAGAGGGTGTGAATATATTGAAAGCAATAAACACTGATACCCCAGAGAAGTTGTTCAAACATTTTGGGTTAAATATCCTAAACAATCCATCTGAAAGTACTTACATTCAGTGGTGCTGCATCACTATGGTGAATATCAGCCTCCTGAAATCAAACTCAGTGTCAGAATGTTGGAAGGCAAATTAGCAAGCAAGGATTGTGTTGGTAATGCAACTGTCATGGGGTAGGTCAGTTGGAAGAGAGCAGATGAGTGATGAGGGAGAAACAAATGAGAAAAGAAATAAATTGTGGATGAACATAATATACTTATTAACCAATCAAAGGTAGAACACCAAATATTATATGGTAAGCTTAATCAACAACATTTTGCTTTGTTCTCATATAAAACAAACAGATTCTGTGTTTTCATGGTTCTGTACAGTACAGAAAGTATTCAGCAGAATTACCAGACTATTGAGGAAGGAAAAAAACAGTTACTTACAGTTGTTTGAGTAAGGACACGGATAAGACCATTTATAGTGTCAGGATGAGAGGAGAGAAACAACAAACCTGCAAGTGAAAGAGTACAAGCATACCATTTAGCCCAAATTGCACTCAAATGGCTGGTATATACAACACTGGTATCCAAAGCAGTGTTTATAGGCTCTCTTGCCTTTCCTCAAAGACCTCTGCCCTTTTACTTGTCTAGCCTTAGTTAATGGTCTAGAAAGCTTATGGAACCAAAAAGATTTCTAGTAAAACTTTAAAATCAAATTTCAAGGACCAGATCTTGCTTCATTTTCCATAACAATTTAGTCGTAATGAAGAATGGGACCTATCAGGACATCTCACTATTTCCATAGGTTACCATGTATGACCACAAAAACAGACAACTGTACAAAGTCAAGGAGGTCTGCACCATAGCTTCTGAATCGGAGTTTTTACCATATATTTTTGCCACCTCACACAACCTTTCTCAAAATACTTTTAGTGTCAAAGTTGACAAGCCAGTTAGAAGCATACAAAATGCCTTTAGTTAGTACCTTGCTGGGACTGTAACAATGTAAAGAACAAATCTCTGATTGGCCCAAACACTGCAGGATGGCAACCAGCTGTTGAGGACATCACAACCAGAATGGACTCCAGAAGACGACTAAAATGGAAAAAAAAAAGAAAAAAAAAACAAATAGAGTTTCAAAAAAACCTACATTTGCTTGCTCTATTGGGATGATTAAACCTTTGAGCCAAGAAGCCTATAACTGCAGATTTTATCTTCAGTTTATGCACATCTGAGCACCTAAGACTAATGTTACTTTCCCTCCATGAGAAAATGAGAAGCTGGTCCATCACAGATGACCCCTAGTATCTTGTCAAATTTCCCTAACAATTCAGCAGCAAAAATTTGAACTTTTTCATGGAGAGAGGCAGTGTGAGAGTATGGCGTCTTGTCCCAAGAATGCAACCCATAACACAACACAAACCAAGGAAAGGTCTCTTGATCTCAAATCAAGTGTGAGTCATAACCTCTACAGTACATTGCCATGTCCTACAGGTTACCTGTAGAGGTGTATCTAAAATCCTCTGCAGTACACTAAAACACTAGAGCTATAAAATTCAATTACCGTGCTTTGAAGAAGTGAAACAAAACTGGATAAGGATCTTTAGGAGATTTATCAAATCCTGTGATCTTTGCTGAGGTGGGAAATGCTTTCACAGGAGCCTGAACCTAAATAGAAAAGAAATCACTGCCTTAATTTTAATCCTTTATATCTCTATATAATATATATCTTGTCAAACCTTGTTATTTGAACACTTTTATTGGTTAGCAGAAAGAGGGCTAGTGACTCCAATAATGGATAAGCACAAAAGTGCTCTGTGGCTGTCTTATGCCAAGGACACCTTCCCACACTAAGAACAATTTTGTACCAAATTTTTCCCTTCTGTTAGAGAATTAATGGACCAATCAGAATCTGGCTTTGGCACACATATTTCAATGACTAGAGGAGGTTACTGGAAATGTGAAAGGCTTCAAACTCTGGCTTTTTCCCTAGTTGTCAAAAAAACAGACACCCAAAACTGCAAGGGTCCTTTTCATGACTTCCTTCACCTGAATGATCAGATTATGTGATCAAAGTGAAGAAGAAGTAACCAATAATTCCATCTATATGTATGATGTGCGATCCTCGCAGTAGATAGCGCTATTTATGCAATAGCGAAAATCAGACCTGAAACAAATCAGGCCTGTACGGGACTCAAACCACTGACCTCTGTGATACTAGTGCAGTGCTCTACCAATTGAGCTAACGAGCCAACTGGGAGCAGGCCGTTAAGTTGATTCGTAATAAACCCGTGAAAGTGATCAATGAGATGCAATGATTATTACAATATTTCATCAGACTGGTTTCAAATTCTTATCTCTTTAACCCCTGAGGGTGACCACCACCTAATTATTTCTCACAAACATACATTGCTGAATCAACCATCATGCTCACAAAAATTTCATAAATCATCAAACTTGAAAAGCTCCTAATTTTTAGCTAAATTCTCCTCGTCAGTGCCTTAGGAAATTTATAAAGAGCCATATGGAGAATTTTCATGCTGATGATAGTGTAAAGGTGTAATAGTAATAAAACCACCTTCCATGGAGGATGTAGCTGTATGAATGCACACTTAAGATATTCATAACAAGATTGCATGGTACTGCTATATTATACACTGCTGTGTCTGTATAATATGAACTCAATCAGCTTACTATCATGTGCTGGGCCTGATTAAGGTAGATACAAATCTCTTCAAGGGTGCTTGCGAGGATCTCTATCATCCCTGCATTAAGGGGTTGCTCTCGTTCACCTGCAGCCAGCCCTGATGTATCCATAGCCATGTCTGGTTCAGGGGACATCACATCAGCTGCCTGCTTGGATTCAGTTACCTCCCCAACTGAGTCTGTTTCAGGATCTGTCTGCCTGGGACTGGGAGTTGTTTCAATAATTCTGCACAAACAGCAAAGTAAACAATTTGTGATTCACCTACCTGATATGCTTCTCTGACTGATTTATTTACTGACTGGCACTGAAGAACTGACTTGATAAATGACTAACTTACTGACTGACTAAATGACTGAATGACACACTCAGTCTCTTAATTACTGCCTGCCTAACTATATAACAGACAGGTAGCCTGACCAACCCAAAAGAACACAGAGAGTGACTGTATTTCAAGAATAGTAAGAAAATTTTGCTAAGTGGATGCATAGTGTAAGGAAGTCATACTCAGCAGTGAAGTTAACCTAAAAACATTTTTTTTTAATTATCATTATTTTTTCAAGTCAGTTTGGTGCAACAACTGGTCCAAAAAATCTAAAACAAAAAAAACAACAACAAAAAAGAAACCAGAAAAAAAATATAGTTACCTGTATATATGTGTTAGAGTATATGTAACTTACTTACTTGTCTACAGTTTTCTGCAGAAGTGCAAGCAATTCATACAAGTGGACTTTGCGAGCAAGAGCTGAAGCAGATTCTACCACACGTACAGTCTAGTGTTGAAAAAAATATCAGTCACTAAGAAGAACCATAACTGTTGTAAGATCTACACCAAGATGAAACAAACTGAACTCAAAATCAATTTCAATGTCACTGTTATACAAAAGAATACTACCTGATCAGTGAGAAGAAAATCAACAAGTTGCTGGTAACTTTTGGATTCTTCTTGGACAGTGTTTCCTTCACTTTCCTTAACCTTAAAAATTAAAGACAATATCCACAACTTCAACTACTACCACAGGGTTTTTGTACCCTTTTGAGCTGTGAAAATTCCAGGCCTTTTCCTGTGACTTTTCAAAAATTTCCTTCACTGAAGTTAGGCAAGTATACTGATTGGTTCACAACCATGACTGCAAGCGTAGATGTTTATTTCTTCTGAATTTAATCTTATTTTTTGACTCATCAGTGAATTTTTCACTCATAGAAAGCCTGCTGATTTTCCATGACTTTCCATGATTTTACAGGAGCTAAACTCACATTCCAACCCTGGAGAATAAAATTATAAAATTCCATGACTTTCCAGGTATTCCAAGCTAGACATTTTGAGAAGTAGCCATGTACATTAAATGTACAAGCAAAACCAAACATTTGCTTGCAAAACCAATCATACATTTCACTATCATTTTGATGTTTACCATGACATCTTCATCCCATCCAAGAAAATGTTCCATTCCAATGTGGGAATCTGTAGTGTTATCAATGGCTATAGCATTCAAAAAACAAAACATAAACCTTTTGTTAACACAGAATTTAACAAGGACAATTGGCGTTATAAATTATTTTAAATGTCTCAAATATGTCCATTCTACATAATAAAGTACAAAGCCGAGAGAAATTTGAAGTATCCTCTAAAAACATTAATTTTGGAATAAACCAATTTAACACTAACCTTGCAAAGTCAACAATTTCATTGAAGAGGACATGTGTTCTGTAGTAAGAAGTTTACCTAGGCACTCCTGAATCCCGGCTTCCTATATGTGAATGATAAATTTGGCTTTTAGTATGCCACATATGCATACATTTGATTTTTTTAATAGTTAAAGAAAGCTACACTTATCAGATGAGATTATCCAACAGAAACATAGTCAATCTAGCACTTAACCAGGGCTTGTCTACAATACATTGTGCAACCACAATTAAATACTGTTTCAAAAATTATTCAAATAGTGACTCTTCATTTTCCAAGTTAAGAGTCATACTGTCCAATAGCTGTTGTTAAGGAATTGCCCCTAAACTACAAATATTCCATCATTCCATCTCTAAAAATATTGTGGTCAAAGCTACATTGCCAAGACCTTAACAAGAAATTGAACAATTGCCACAGCTTGGGAAATATTCAAAACATTATTGAACTTTATTTCCCAAACTTTCCCAGCTTTTGAAATCTCTGCAAATTCCCATACTTCTTTTTAACAATTTCAGCTCCCATGATCTAATTACTGTCTGCAAGACAATTCTAATAAGGTTAGCTTGGAGAATTAAGTATTGGATCAACCACTTATCCCCTAATTGATATATTTTCCTTTACTCTCATCACTTGTCTGCTTGAGACAGAATTGCTATTATGAGGAGAAATTCTGTCTCCATCACTCATGGGAGTTAAAGGGTTAAGAATTTAGCCTTCTCTATCAACCCTTCCAAAACTAGCCTACAAACAGGCTCGGCGTTCAATCAGACGTCGGGACTTGTTGTGCTCCTCCAAACTGGGAGCCTGTTCGCAAGCTATTCCAAAACTGAATAGTTCTCTTCTACACCATTACAGTAGTATTAATTTTCATGCAAACAAGAGCAAAAACATCAAGTCTCACTATCAGTAAAGAAGAAACTTCTGATCCACAGGAGCACATTGCACCAACAAGTTTGAGTCCTGCTTTTAGCAATCGAATGTTGGCCTGTTGATGAAGATAAAACAAACAATGATAGATTTACTATGTACAGAGCAAAATACAGTCTTATGGCAAGTAAGTTGTACTTGAAGTCTGCCAAGTGAAAGACATTCTGTTTCCCAACAGAATAGCTACTGACTATCAAACTGCAGGTATGAGGAGCAGAAAGTTGGTACTAGTTATGGGAATATAATTTTCAAAGGGTGGTCCCGAAAGGCTTGAAAACACATAGAGCAACCCTATGCATCTCAAGTAATCTAAATATTCCATTATGACACAATTCACATTGCTTTATTTTGTTTGCCACCCTACGGTGTACTTTGTTAGTCTGTGGAAAGGAATATCACAACAGATGGCAGTTTGATTTATAGAAACAGACAAAGAACTTACAGCTATGGGAAGTTTCTGGGCCATCTCAATATCCAAGGAATACAAGATCCATTCAATAAGTTTTCTCTTCACTCCTGCAATTTGAAATTCTCAAACAATTACAAGTAGAACACAAACATTCTCTTTGTTTTGTTTTCTTCTTCTCTTTGTTCAGTTTTCTTACCAGACAAATCAACAAAAGGGAAAAATCAGAATAGATTGGGGCACAAAACCTTCTTTCTGTTCACTTCTTGTGAGAAAAGCCTGCAAAAAAAAGGAGACTGTTTTGGCTAGATTTCATGATATAATAACACATTCAAACTTTCTTCTCATAGCAATTGTATTCACATATTAAGAGAGTTAAAAAAATATGCACAATACATAGTATCAGATTACAATACAAAACACAATCAAGAAAGTTACTTTGAATTCTTATGAAGAATTCCCTATCAAACAAAAGATCTTCCCTGCTGGGTACAAGCACAATTACTAATTGTCTTGCAACATTATTTGTTAAAATAAGGATTAAGATCCTAGTGACATACCAGCCCTGGAATAAGTAGTCTGGGTATCTCTTCAAGTTGCTCAATCCATCTGATAGAATTTGAAATAATAATTACATCTTTTTAGAGTTGCAATTCAGTTATTTCAATTGCTTATTAGGAAAAGGAATCATTATATTTTAATGATAAAATTTACATTTTGTATATGTGTACTCACTTCTTATTCCTCTCAGAAGTGCAGCACATTTCAACGTGTTCAAACAATGTCTGTCCCTGCAGTTTTATAGAGGATAAGCATATACTTTTATATTATCCACTTTTATTTTTAACTAATTGCAACCATTCCCACAGCCCTGAATTTGTAATAATTTGTAATTTGTTCCAGGAAGCAGGTCTTGCACAAGTTTCAAGTGAGTTGCACAGCTGAAGCTAACCATAGGTTCCATAGTATGATGCCATTAGTAAGATTACGTCCAAAATGTTTGTCTGGATGGAATGCTTCTTTCAATAATTTTCAAGGTTTCTTTGAAGGTTTGTTGGTAAATGTAAATATCAGATATTATTATCCAACTAAACCGAGTAGAGTACAAATAATGCCATACATGAGTACAAATATCACTTGGTATTTGTACTCCAGAGTACTGGTTGGACAGGTTTTCTCACATTGCGCAAGCGAAGAATTGGATTGAAGTTACGAAAAAAATGGCAGACAATTTGAATTATATTTCTGATGACGAAGAGTCTAAATGGCAGGAAAATATAGATCCAAGTTTATTAGATGAATCCAATGAAGAAAAACAGCTAGACAACCAGGAAATTTCTTCATCAATTGAAGAAAATAGAAACAGCAAGTGAACATAACAATGCGCCAATTCCATTCCCCTTTGCAAACTTCTGTCACACACTCCCCGTAAATAAATATCCGCAAACAATTTGGTGCGTTAGATAATAAATAACTTATTAGACATTTTGTTGTGTAATATTGCTGAGTACTTTTACTCGTTATTTGTATTTTGACTCACCCTACGGGCTCGTCAAAATACGGCACAACTCGTAAAAATACTCAGCCATACTATACAACAAAATGTCTATTAAGATGTATATACTCCTTGGCAGAAAGAAGAACAGTGAGAGTTGGGTGTCTAATGCCAAACAACTTAAACACAATATCCATAGCCAGGGGTCAAACTTAGACCTTGAAATCCAGAGCCAACCAGTACACAAACCATTGGACCCTATCTCACCCTCAAATAAAATTACATTGTAGCAGTAGCAGTGTTTTATCAAGTTGACCCTTCCACTCGCACTCCCTTGCTATCTGCCATACATACACAAGTGCTATTCATATTATGCTAGTCCAGAGTATTTAATAAATCAACAGTGGTTTATCATGGTCTGTACTCTTATCAACCCTGATATTTTGTTATCACAGTGGTCAAAATGTTGTGGACTCCCACAGTGCAGCCTACCACAATAATGACGTCAAATAAAAAGATTCTTTCAGTGAGTAACACACTGTGACATGTTGCATGACACATTGCATGACAGACTTACACAAGCAGCTTTGTCTGTATTATTAGTGACAAGAGTGCCTTGGCCAGTCAGATTGCAAGATTATTACCAATTGCAGAAAACTGGTATTGGATCAACAAATAATCTCCTAATTAATGTTTACTTTATTCTTGCCACTTGTCTGCTTGACATTGTATTGATATAGTAATGAGAAATTATGTCTCGGTCATTCAAGGGAGTTAGAGGGTTAAACTTTCCTTAACCATTCCACTATCACAATCTGAAAGCCAATTCTCCACGCAAGTGAGATACGTTTCTTGATTGCCTAGTTGTGAAAATTTAACACTGAATTGAGGCAACATCTCCAACATGATAATAATGTTTGGACTCTAGTACATTACTGCGTTAATTCAATGTTGTTCTCACTTACCAAGTTGAGTTGCTGTTCATCTAAGGAGCCTTGGAGAGAAGAAAGAGACAATCAATTCATCTGCAGTTGAATTTGTCAAAAGCTAACTCAAAAATTAACATCTAATCACACAGTCAAACATAAGAAAAGTACTCTATAAGAAATATAGTAGCACAAAACACTATAATATAACAGGAGAATAACAAAATATTCTGCAATACTACAAAATTGAGCTTGAACCATTGTATTTATTATTTGGAAGGTTCTTCAGTATGTAGTTGGCAGAGTATTCTACATTACTCCTCTAAACATTGAATGTAAAAGTTACTGGCAGTAGTAGACTGATGTTGAAATTAGCTACTCACTGGAATCCTCTTTAACTTTCAACAATGCATTTTCATATTCTGTGCAATCTGGAGGACTAAGTGTCTGAAGTAAAAAAAAAGACAAAAAGTATCAACTGAAGACAACAACACATTACAATTAATGATCATTTAATGTCATGGTTTGGTGCAATTTTTTAACAAGTTTGACTAATGGTGGTGGGTCGTGGGTCGTTGATACAAGTCGTGGGTCGTGGGTGTGGGTAAAAGTTGTGGGTGTGATTAATATAAAATAATAACAATAATCATTTAAAATATTAGTCATAATCATACATAAATATTATACAACCCTTATCATTGTATCAGCTCGGTTTAGTGAGCCTAATATTTCATTGATTTCATCCAACAGAATTAATTCATTTCACCCAAAAGAAAAGTTAAACCAAAGACAAAGCCATTATTTGCAGGATGACGTAATTTCTAATTAAGCCCCAGTCTACATGAGCAATTTTTGGGTGGCAACTGTATGTGGCAATTTTTATTTGCCCATGTAGATGGCTCGACAAATATTTGTTGTTAATTTGCGTCAGTAATAATTTTGCACAGCAGAGATGCTCATGGAAAGGAAAAAGGCAAGATGGTGAAAGTCAGAAGACGTGCCAGATGTGCTGCAGCTTTAGGCACATTAATTTTGTCACATTTTACGTGGCGTCCCGTCTACACGGACAATTCTTTTATGTGGCAATATTTATTTGCCGCATAAAAACTAATGCCAGCTTTTCAGCAAATCCAGTTGTCACAGACTGTGACATAAAAATTGGTCATTTTCCATCATCTACACGGGCAAGTAAAAATTGTCACATAAAAATTGCCATATAAAAATTACTCGTGTAGACGGGGCTTTAAAATGAGGGTCATTCCAAAGAGTTTGAGGAATTTTGTTCAGGTCAAACGCTTCATCAACACACAAAAATAATCTTACATTGAAAAGAGAGAAGTGTTAATCTTAAAAGAGCAACGTTCTCAGAACATGAAAGAAGCTTCAATATAAAACGAGGATCAGAAACATGGCTATTGGCCGTGTTTTTTAATTAAAATTAAATTGTGCTCTCAGTACCAGTTAAAAATAAATGAAGTTTCAAAAGCAAAAGTAACAGTATATCCCTCTGCTGGTTAGGGAAAATAAAGCTTGTGTTGATCAATGACATTCAGACAAAGAACCGAATGCTTCATCAATTATCATCTCTGTATCGCGTACCATCTACCCCCCAACTAAGAAAAAAATGAAGTGAAAGAGCGAACTGTTGAAAGATATGCTGATATATAGATAGCAACGTTGCAACGTTAGTTGCAGGTCTGGATATGTTGGCTCCAAGGTTTTTCCAAGGCTCAAAAAGATAAAACCTCTGGTATCCAGTGTGCAGTATATAATCGACAACCAGAAATCGCAAGCCAATGTTAAATTGGTCACGACAACTGGCATCGGTGACAAGAAATTAAACGAAGAACCAAATACAATCTTAAAATTCTTCTTCGTCCATTTAACTAGCCAGGTCATTTTCTAAATCATAAAATAAACTAGATATGAAGAATTATTGAAATAAGTAAATTAATAAATAAAGAGGTTCTAATAGTTTCAATTTTTAAATGATTCATTTCTTATCTGACAAAAACCAGACTCAGCAGAGTTGCCGGAAATGTGACGTACTCGAGAAACATACATTTCATTGTTCATCGAGAAGTATTGCATTAATTCACGGTAGCTAATGACAGTCATGTTTCACGTCTTGTTTTGAGACCCTTACAGGATAAATTTTTGGAAAAGAAGAATGACAACGGTTCAGTCACGTTTCGTGAAAAAATCTAGTCATTTCACAATTTCCATGAAGAAAAGGTGATTCAACGTTCATGGCAATATAACCAAATCACGTTTAACGAGAGAAAAAACCAGCCAAAGGGTCCTTTGCGATCACGAAAAAACCCTTTTCCCCTACAAAAATAACAATAATTTATTATTAGTAGTGGTGCTATTAAATGAGCTCTTAACCATTAATTAATCTGTATTACCCACACCCATGACTTTTACCCACGACCCACAACCATTAGTCATTGACAAACCCTTTTTTTACTGCATGTTGCAAAGTGACAAAGTTATTGCAGCAGCCTGTTCCTTTTTACCTTGGGACTCAGCAAATTTGCTGACCACCTGAGTGTAAAGTTCACAAAATACAAATACAAGAAATGAACTTACAGTCAAAGGTGATAGGTCACATTGGTAAGGGTTGAAACTAACAGACACAGACATCCAAGCATCCTCGCTATAAAGGTCAAGATCCCCAAATTGTACATCCTAAAAAATTAAGTACAACTTTAAATTAGACAGCAGGGGTGTAATGTACATTTATCTCAGAGATCAGATAGTTCTTCAGATAGGATGCAGAATTCTTTAGCTAAATTCAGATGACCTATCTTTTTACCCTATCTAGTAATTCTCTTTATTGTGTGTCATTCATTTCTCATTAGGCTGGTACTGAGAAATTGGTGATTAATCAATAACATTCCGATGTTGATGTTTTTTTCTTTTTTCTTGTTATCTGTCTGTTTGATGATCTATTGATATAATCATAAGGTCAAATCACTTCTTGGTCACCCCTTGGAGTGAAGAGTTAATGAGACTACAAGAACACTCTCCTTTCACTTTATGCTACATGTACTATATTTCTCAGTGAAAAAAACTGGCACTGCAATTAGTGGAGAGAAAGACAATTCCTACCTAGATATCACAGTTACAGTAACACATTGCAGTAAGGATGACCCAACTTTGTAGCATCAAGTGTGGAGAAACAACATTGCCTTAAAAACCTTTTTTTTTTCCGAGAGGCAATTTGACGCAAGTTGATGCCCTGACTGTTGTAAACAAGGTGAATTTCTAACAAATCTATCCTTTTATCAAACCAAGAAAAATGATTTTATACTCACTGCATCATCTATTGTTCCATCCTCCATCTCCTACAATTTAAAGGGTTTCAATTTTTAAGCAAGTTTTTATGATTCACTGTAAAACACATTTGATCACACACTGTATATACATGTTACAAACTGTAATTTGTGCTACAGAAATATCACATTATGATTATCATTAAGTATTACTATTATCACAATTTCAAGATGAAAGATAACTGGCAATTATCAGTGTTTTTAAAATCACTGTCCTCCCAAAGGTTTTTTGAAAAGTGAGATGAATGATTGTGTTTTCATAAAAAAATATCTGATCAGAAATCAAGGATAAGTACTACACCACAGAGAGAGCAAAAAAACAACAGCAACAACAAAAACAAGAAATTTGATGGTAGCAAAGCCTTTGGCTCATCTTGTAGCTTTTGTACATTGTTACCACAACACATTCACAGTTTTGGAAATGATTCCTAGACACACCTCTTCATCACTAAGGATTTCTTCATAGCCATCCTATTTAAGAAAAAAAGCATTTAAAAGAATTATTCAAAGGAGGTTGAGCACAATTTTGCTTCTTGTAAGTGGAAAACAGATCAACTGTCGAATGCCTCTCTGAGATACTTGATGAACATAAAATTTTGTTAGAGATGTTGATTCACATCTTAATATTTTCTGCAAATATTCTTTGACAGCTTAGGTAAGTGGTATAACTTTTTGCAAAGATGATCACAAACATGGGCATAACTAAGCATGAGCTAAAATTTAGTTCCAGCAAAACAAAATGAGATGATTTCACCCCTGAGTAGACCATTATTTGTAGGAAGTTATTAGCAGATTCTGTGATATGCTCTTGGCTGATGAGAAAGAAGAAGTAAATACATTGAACGAAAACACCAATGACAACAATCTCTATCATAACGATTACTTACCGGTTCATCTACATCCTCTTCATCAGACATAAACAGGTTGGAGGGTGATCTGTCAGGTGTGAGAGGCTCAAACAAGTCATCTGGAGACTGGTTACCAGACTCTGTACCAGCTGGTTGCTATAGTAACAATCATTTGCAAAGTATACAGTAGTGTCAGAGAAAGGCCAATTGAAAAGCAGGTTGGACTTCTTAGACTAGTGGTTTGAATCTTCTGATCAAAACTGTGCAGATGTAGTGGTGGCTAGGCAAACTGTTGTAAAAAAAATAGTTTGCTACATCCACGATATCCTTGCACCAAGTACTAAACTATGATTTCCAAGATAAGGATCATGTGACCTTGCATTCCCCAAGGGATTAAGAACATGGACTGTTTTCCTCATAAGGTTCACTTGAACTAAATGAGATCAATAACCAAACTATGGCTAGAGCCAATAGCATGTCAATAACATCAGCTGATTGATAGCACTGCCACCAAACTGAAGTTAAGATATATGTTGCAGGTAAAAATTAAATTCAGGTAAAAAAAAATTTAACCTAGGTTGAATTTCAATTCTCTTTGTCTCGGAGCCCTAATTGTGAACAATTAGGGCAAGGAGACAAAGGAAATTGACTTTCAACCTAGGTTAAAATTTTTTTACCTGAACTCAATTTTTACCTACAACATATACATATAACCTACTGGTTAAAAAAAATTAACCACTAATGTTTGTTCCTGCTAAAACAGTTGTTTCCCTCAAGAGATAAAGGGAGACACTGAGGATCCCATAACATAAAACAATTTTACAAAGAGACCTGGGAATGAGTATGATATTACCTCCTCCCTTGGAGACCCTGGTGGAGTTGTTGGCTTGGCAGCAGTAATTTCACCAATAGTTGCCATAGCACTTTGGGGGGATCCTGGGGGAGATTTTATTCTTGGTGGTGACTTTGACAGAGTTCTTTCCCTCTCCTTCCCAGCTTTTCTTTCTTCTCTTGCATGCAACTGCTCATCTCTCTTCTCCTTTGATTCAGTGGTTCTCTCAAAGGCTCTATCATCTAGACCCTTCTCTAAGGGAGCTGAATCAGAAGAACCTCTCTCAGCACTCCTCTCCCTTTTTAAAGGCCTTTCTGGACCTCTATCACGATCTTTTTCAGCCTTCTCAGCTACTTTTTCAAAGGCTACTTTTTCTGTATCCCAGAGCACTCTTTCAACATCCCTATCAGGGCCTCTTGTTTCTACAATGACTGGGGGCCTTTCAATTCTTGGTTCTGGGTGTGTTTCTTGAGGACGTTGATTGACATCAGTGAAGAGACCATACAGGCTAATGGTGATTCTTTTGTACCATCCACGCAGAACCACAACATCTGTTGCACCCTGATCAAAAAATTCGAACTAAATGAAGAGGAAAAGTTGACACAGTTATCACTAGTAATGACAAAAGGTTTGAAACCAAAATCAATTTTGTTTGACAGAAGTGGGGGACATAACAAGAAAGTAGCCTACACGTAATATCTATTTCAACATTGCAAACTAGTTTGTTAAATTTATCTTTATATTTGCCCTTCCCTTTAAAATGAAAATTGAATCATTGCTGGTGGCCAAGTGCAATAAAGCACAGCACATATTGAGCAATACAAACTCACACCAACAGGGCTCAACACTAATGGTAGCCCACTAGCCACAGACCAGTAGAAATTCAGTTTTGGCTATTGGTTTTCAATTTCCCCTTGCCAGTTTGGCTGGTAAACAGACTGAAATTGTCGTAACATCTAAAAACATCTAGGATGTCACTATAGCCACTTGGCTACTAAGTTGAAAAGTTAGTGTCGAGCCCTGCACCAGCCATCAAACTTTTTCAATGGTCAATTAATGGCTATATACAAAGCACAGCCAGGGTGTTGAGCTTGGAACAACTGAAGGTAAATCCAGGGAGTAGCAAGGTGGAGGGCTTGAACAATTGAAGCACAGGATTGTACGCTCAGTTCCCTAACCACTCAGCCAACCTGAACAAAAATTGGCTGTAAAGCCTTACCTTAGAGTAGGTAACAAGCTGAAAATTGTTGGGTTCCTTATACTCTAGTCTATAAAATAAAGCAAATGAAAGAACTGTTAACAACAATATTTCTGTTCTTCTCTACTGTAACAACTAATAAGTCTTTGACAAAATTATGTAACTACTGCAAGAAATTAAAAAAAAAATACTTTGTTGTCACTTACTGTCCAAGTCTTTCAAACACCACATCTGCAGGCCTGTCTAGATTTCGAATGAATAGATCCAACTTAAAAGAGGGAGGATGAGTTTCTCTGTAAAAATTGGAACATTATCAAGACATTTTAAGTCAATTAAGTCAAAAATTGTTGCTAAGAACCCACTCAAGGCAAGTTTTGCCGGCTGAGAAAGTGGTGAAATCAAAACATTAATTGTAAAAACTATCTGATCTTCTACAAAGTCGAGAGAACAACCAAATTTTAGAATGTTACACTTTTTTCACAGATATAGTGGTATCTGCTATCACAAGTTACATACCCCATTTTCTCTCTCTCACTAACTGCAGCATGGACTCTGTGTCCTGCAGGTATCACTCTTACTTCCTGGATACAAACTGGTCTTGGAAAGCTGATCAAGTCAAGATGCATTTCCTGTAAAGAATTTATAATAATTAATTAAAATAATCACTCACAGGTACAAACTTCTTTTCAACAAGTTTCCTTGTACTGCCAACCTAATTTGTTTTGGTTACCTCCAACAAGATCATCATTTAAAATTTGAACTCATAATAAGAAAGTTTGATTTTGTTCAATAATCTAACCAATTGGAAAAAAAAAAAATAAGTTCAATGATTGCTACCTTGATTGCTTGCATCATCATGATACATGTCAGTCTGATTTAACCAAAATAGAGATATACACAAAAGACCCATACACATATAACCCCCATACACATATAACCCCCATACACATATAACGCCCATCATCAAGTGTCATCATAGTTTGATCAACTACACTTCCTTGCGCAAAATCTGAGTTAAAAATTCATCAAGCTACAAGAGGCCTGGCATTATAATTAGCTCATGGAATCCGAGACAGATTCAATCAAAAGAATATACCTAACAATATCAGCTGATCCAGAGGTTCATTCTACCTTTATATTAAACAAAGAGTTTGAAACCTCTTTCAGAGATCCTCGGGGTTACATAACGTGACAAAGTTTGGAGTTGATTGCAATTAAAATCATGGTGCAAGGCTTGGACAATATACATATCTTCAGCTGCAGTCACTTAGTCACACGAAGTACACGGTACACACGAAGCACTACCTGACTAGATAGACATAGAAGTATCAGAGACTGGGCTTGAATTGGAATTTTGATAGACCTTGCGTAAGACCTTTCAGTAATTGATTGCAGCGTCACAAAGAAACGTTCTCGGCTAGCAGCTGATCAACAGCTGGTTGGGATAATTCGCATCTGGAAATATCCGAAATTGTAGCATCGTAAGCAAGGGAAGATTTGATAAATATCCGGTAAAGAAATGACTTTCCTGTTTAAATTTACAAAGATCTTTACACAAACCTCATTTTCAGGATGGCTGAATGTGTCACAAAAGAGCAAAACGGGATCTACAGCTTCTGGTGACAAGGCCGCCATGTTGCTTTTTCAAACCACAATACTATGCGGGTCAACACCTATGTCGTGTACGCACATTTAATGGTAACAACCTGGGCCGGATTGTTTAAAGCAGGGTTAAGATAACCAAGAGTTAGTGTGAAATTTGATTTCAGATGTGAAAGCTTTCAAAGAAAATTCAGCTTAATTCCATTTGTCTATAATTTGATGATTAAATGTTCTAAAAAGAATTGGGAAAACTATCCCAAAACGGATTTTGATCAGAGAAATATAGAAACCTGGATAAAAATCTAACCCTGGGATAGTGCTAATCAGCCTTTTCACAACTGGGCCCTGGAAAACAATGGTGTTCGCTTGTGCAAGGATCATGCAATTAACCATTACTTTTCCGTAATAGACAAGATGCTCTGGCCAGCAGCACTAACTCAATCCTTCTAAAATTTGCAATCAACCGTAGTTGACTTTAGTCTAGACAAAAAGAACAGTTCAATACAGGCCAGGTACGTTTCTAAAGAAATTGTGATTGCTGTGTCAGTGATGGGAGAGAAAACTGAGATCATTTGGGTTATCAACTGATTAGATAATGTAAATTAGCCACCCTTAAGAGTTTAAATGCTGACGTTTCTAGCCCAAGTCCTTTGTCAGAACTAATGAAGTGTTGATAGGCTAACACTTTTTCAACTCTCTATGGTGGCCAATTTACAGTTTCAACGTGGGCTCTCAGGACCACATCAATTTCTAACAATTTTAGGGCCCATTTCAAGTCAAATAATGTTTGGAGCCTAAAGAAAAGTAGAACAGTACCATTCTTGTCTGAAACACCATTCCAATCCCTTTCTTTTTTAGCAATAGTTTTTGGTGTTTGAATTTCAGAATTTAAGAACAGAAAGCAGCAAAAAACTAGTTGCTTTTAAAAGAGACTTCAAAGAGATGAACTCTGATCTTTAACTCTTTTAACCCCAACATCACTATCAATATTCTCCAAAGCTAATCTCTACATATTCCAATTGATACCAAAAGGAGAATTTGTTGAAAAATCAGGCTTATTAAGTTAGCAGTAATTTCCTTTATTCTCCTAATTCAGCTGCATTACTGTAAGGAAAACTGAATGCTAGTAACTCTGAGGGTTACAGGAGTGAATCCATTGTGGTAGTACCACAGGCTTACTTTCCCAACAACTGGTGCCCCAAGTGTTTAATGCTTTCTTTTTCCAATTATTTGTTATCAACATTTCATGAGACACATTTTTCTTGGTACAGAGTAAATCAAATTCTTTGTGAACAAGTACCCAGTAAAAGTTTACTGCACACCACTCCTTGATAAAATAAATTCTTTAATTCTACTAAATAGTTTTTACATTAATTACAAATTTCTTCACAACTTTTTTGACCGTTTTTTTCCTTTTTTTTTCAGATTTCCCTTAATTTCTGTATAAGAAAAAAATTAATGCAAGTACTGGGATACTATGGTTTTATGTACAAAACCTAGTCTTTTTTTACCACAATTGGTCAATAAATGAAATGAAGGCCTTATATTTACTTGGCCAAACCAATTAAAACTTTGTACCAGTTTTTTTTTTTTTCTTTCTTTCTTTCTAGAAGACAATCAATGAAAATCCAGACATGGGATTAAGTGCTGGTTCTTCAACTTTACAAGCTCATCAACAATGATTCTTGACTTCATTCTCTTGAAATTCTTCTTTGTAGTTATGTCTGCAGTCACTTAGTAACTAACTTTTAACATTATTACCTACAAACAGTAGTCCAGAAGAGCACTCCATAGTGTACAGGATGCAGCTTTAAGAAGCATGAAAGGAAAAACCATTGTTTGTCAGTTACAATGTTTCCAGAATGATGAACCAAAGCCTGACCTTTCAGTGTATAGACAAGCGTTTTATTTTGTGTTTTTTAAATGCTTGTAACTGATAGTATTAAAGGCTTGTTTTAAGATACTTTATTCTCTTTCAATCACCAATGAAAAAAATAGAGTTGGAAAAAAAAAAAAAAACAGCCATTCTCTAAAAAAGATTAGTAAGTTTCTCTCCAAGGCTCATGAAAGTTATGGGGAGTGCAGCTATGAGAGATCATAGGTTTGCAGGCTCAAATCACATCTTTGTATTATAAAATCCTTGTCTTGTCAGTTGTCCTTCAAGAGTTTCTATCAACTAAAAACATCTTTTAACAGATTTTACATTGTTGATAAAGATCAAAAGCACTGATCGAACTCCTAATAGTCTCTTACATTTTTCTACTAATTCTGGTGATTTATATGAAGGTAATGAGGTACATTTTCCAGCAAAAACTGATTCCAAATGAACACTCTTGAAATGCAAACTTAGGAGAAATAGTGTATCTTGAAATATGTCAATAGTCTGATGGATTCTAAGCTGCAAACCCAAAATTCTTTTAGCTAATAGCACTTGTCTACACTTTTCAAAGGTCAGACTTTCAAATCCTAGGAATCTGATACTTTACCATTCATTTCATGAAGTCTGTTGTGACACTGTTCAGTTCAACCTCTGATCCAACCTTGTTTGGTGGCACCTGAAAAAGAAAGAAAGACGACGAGTGCGTGCTGCTCAAAAGTGACAAAACGATTACATTCAGCCTACGTTGAAGTACGTCTCTTTTTTTGGTTTTTCTTTTGTCTTTTTATAGCAGTTTTCTGTCTTGCATTACAGGAACTCATAACCTTAAGGGTTCTTTCCCTCTCTATACGTAGTTCCACTGCTCGAACACCTCAGTTTGACAAAGTAGTGATAATATACTTGGCCTGTACTTTGTGATACCGACATTTTGTTTCCTTTACAGAACTCCACCCTGCATTGCTTTCTTCTCGCACTTAGAACATAATTCCACGGACACCTTGCCACCGCTCACATGAAGACACACACCACCAGTATTTGAGCGGCTTCGCTTGCTGGGGGCATCTCCCCTATCCTCGTCAGGCTGCCTCTTCCTGCTTCTGGTCACATATTGCCTCCCTTCCTCCTTTGTGTCGCTTTCCTTTTCGGTACCTGGACTTTGCGTCGACTGCACAAGCGATGAAGACAATGAGATTCCAGGTGTAGCCGCCACGCTCTTAAGCAAAAGCGAAATTGTGCTTTCATTAGCAAGGACATTTCGTAGATATTGCACCTCATCCGCTAGCTTCTTTGTAACAGATGTCAAGCTTTCGTTTTTGGCTTTAAGAGTCTTATTCTCCTCTTTCAAATCAGAAACAGTTTTTTCAAGCCCTTCGACGTATTTCTTTTTCTTTTCTCTGTTTTCCTTGGCAGCAATGGCGTTCTTTCTGTTTTTCTCGACGATGGCTTCTTCGTCTTCAACTTTTTCTTGGGAAGTTCGCTGCCTTTTCCCAAAATTCCCTCTCACTGAAAGATTTGTAAGGCTGAGTTTTGTACAAGGTGGTTTATTTGATTGTTCGTTACAGTTAAAGAGTTCTTCCAAATCCCTGAAATCGTTGTCGTTTAATCCAAAGTCTCCTTCGGCCCAAGATGAAGTTAATTCGGACAAGAAATCTCCAATACCAGCATCTAATCCACTATCCGAACTGTGGGCAGGAGAGGAAGAACTAGATAATGTTTCCAAATCTATTGCTTCACCAATGGGCGAGATCTCTCCATCGGGATCTACTCTGGGACAAATTGCTTCTTTCCTCTGGTTTCGTGGTTTCGTTGTGCTTACACACGACGAAATCTCGGTCTTGGAATCGTCATCGGACGGCACCAGTAAGCAGTAATCGTGATCCAAAGCAATCGACATAGCCGTGATGGAACCTTTTTCGCAGTAGGCTTTGTTCTTGGTCTAGAAGGAAACGTAAAAATATCTGAAGTCTTCGACCACACTCTATTCCCCAATTAACAACTCGCTAAAATACGTCACTTCAACGTTTGAAGCACGAGGCTGCAATAAAATTGTAAGATGAGGTCATTATTGAAACTGCGCACACTCATCAAGTCACGTGACAAAATCTTTCTCAATCCTGTCAATCCCAGGGCTTTTTTCGGCTCCTTAAGCCGAAATAGCCCCGGGCCCAAGATTTTGACAGGACCGCAGATCAAAATATCGTGGATTCCCAAACAAATATGGAGTTGCTGGAGTTAGTCGTTTGATACGAGAAACAAAATTTGTGCGAGTAAAATTGAATGACTTTGTTAGTGTTACAGAAATATGAATTGTCAGATTCTTTGCCCTTTGACGCGATTTTTTACCAAATATTGGGTATTCAACTGCGCACGATCGCCCACAAGACTGCTTCACAGCCACTCAAGTTACATAAATACGCGTAATGTAGGCAGCCATCTTTCGTCAGGAAGAGTTAGTCTTGATCAGAGATGTGTCAAGTGCAACTTACGAAGGTTTTTTGGTAGTTTGGCTAGGTCCTCACAGGTAAGAAAATGAAGAGGAAATAGAAAATTTGATAATTGCATTTTCCATAAATTGGTTTAAGCCTTGTTCTCGGGTTCAGGTTGAATGTAAGCTTATTAAATTTTTGATCTGTTTTGACCATGAATTGTCTTCCATATCGATCTTCTAAACATTTGAAATAAAAACTATTTATTTTGCCCCTTTAAACAGGATGAATTTTCAACGAAGTATGTACATTCTCCCTCCATTTATCAAATTTTACTCCTGAAAAGAGATGATGTACGGCAGGGTAAGTAAGTTGTCATTTGTTGAAGTTGATTTGAATTTAGATGGATAATCATTAGGTATGGATATACAAAGCTTTAGGGTGTTGTTGTAGCTGACAATGATTGGCTCCGTGGGGATAGTGAGATTGCTGTAAATGAGAAAAACTAAATAGTTATAAATTTGTATAGAAATATTTATTTATACTCTTTGTTGCTTCAAAACCAGTTTTAAGTATGTTTATGCTTGGAACTGGAGACGTTGTTTTGATATAAATTGTGAAATTACACATTCTAGTTGTTACCAGATTCTTTTCAACAAGCCTTATGAGGAAACATGGCCAAGGAGATAAAAATCAACAAGGTAAAAAGGTTAATGGCATTATGTTTGTTGGTTCGCCAGACATACTTGATCACTTTGCTGTGATTACTATTAGCTTGCTATTGCAGCAATGAACTGAGTCTATATCTGTACACCTTCATGTATCTATTATGAATCCTACATGTATATCTTGTTGGGTTTGTTTTTTAATCCATGATGGTGCCACACTGGGGCATAAACCTATGTATTAACAACCCTTTACACTAAATTTTAAAAAATTATATCATATTTTATGAGGTTGTGGGTAGTACATTGTGTAAAGTTGGTGAAATGAAAATGAAGTGTGATTGTTTGTGAGGCGTGAGTAGTACATTGTGTAAAGTTGGTGAAATGAAAATGAAGTGTGATTGTTTGTGAGGCGTGAGTAGTCCAGTGGTCAGTGCGCTGGACTCTGGGTCAGATGGCCCAGGTTCAAGTCCTGGCTGGGGCTTGACATTGTGTCCTTAAGCAAGACGCTTCACTCACATTGCTTCGTCTTCTCAGATAGGACGTAAAGCCGGAGGTCCCGTCTCCTGCACTTATCAATTAGTTAATTTCGGCAGGGGACGTTAATGAACCCACATCACGAGATTACTGTGATGTGGTCTGGCTTGTTTATTGGGAATGGGGGGAGGGGGCATCTGTAAAATTTCTCCTTTATTAATTGTAAACTGCCGCCCGCAGTCTGGAAAAGTCCACCGCACAGTGTTGTAAAGCGCATTAGAGCATTTACATGGAAATGCTCTATAGAAATCGATCTATATTATTTATTATTATTATTTGTCTCATAATGTGATCAGTCTGATGTGGATCTTATTGTTGTGATTACACACTGCCAGTCCTCTCCAAAT